GCAGGTGTGCAATCACACTCAAACCCCTGATTTCTTTCTTAATAATCTAAAATAAAACAAAATTATACTGGTCAATTTCCCCTTAAACTTCTCCATTAGCTAAAATGAAGCATTTACTTAAATTTAAGATAACTATATGTTTATACTTGAGCAGAACAAAAAGCACGTCAAATATAATTCGGACCTCTCTAGTACATTCAGAGGTGTTCTACACATCCAATGTGTCCCTGTGGTATCAACAACCCACATGGGAAACATGCATATATTTCCATTTAACATACTTGGTCTTATCTAGTTATCTTCAAACTGAGTAGCTCCGAACAGCACACGGTGAGTGGTTCTGCCAGGCAGCTCTGTGGCCAACCCTACTACTGCTTTTGATGGAGGGAAGGGGGGAGAAATTCTGTTCAGTTTAGAGATTACTAATCTCGATGTTTCACCACCTAGAAAATTAATTAATACGTACCAAACCCCATCAATTCATTCTGTGAGTGTCTAAAGCTTTATCTTATCACCATGAACAAAGAAAAAGCCTCTATCAAACTCCACAAAAACTAAATTTATGCAGATGTTCTTTCCTCTCTGGTTTTCCTTTAATTTGCAAATCTTGTAATCTAAGACTGAAGTTGACTGAACCAACATCTAAACCGGCATAGCAGTATCAGCCAAAAAACACAATCTGTTTCCCATTTATGTGTCAAGACTGCATCCTTTTGGGGGCTGCGTAAACTATTGTTTTGAAAAGATTATACAGTGAATCACAGAATGGTTTGGGTTAGAGGGGGCCTTTAAAGCTCATCTAGTCCAACCCCCCTGCGAGACATTTCAGTCATTTTACTAGATGGAAAATCTGACTTCAAATACAAAAATGTGTTTACCAAAAGCTAGTCAGGAACTCAGCTACAAGGCAGGAGTAGACATCTTCCCTGTCAAATACTCCTTGTGGGGAACACAAGGATTGCAACCAGTGGCAAATCTCTCTCTACGGAATTTTTACATAAAGCAAGTTTAACATTTTAGATACTTTAGAATTAACTTTCTAAAGCAAGTTATCAACCATGACTCTAACAAAGAATTCAAGATTTAAAATTAAGGAATATTAAAATAATGGTAAGATCTTAATAGTGATACCCAAAGGAATTTAACTTTTACCAGCATATATTGGTGACTACTGTATTAGGTTACATTACAGAGGAGATGCAACCCAAAGTTACTCAAAGTCAATTTCCAGAGTTAATACATTGTTAGATCTGTTGTAGACATACTAAAAATTAACAAGATATTTTTAGTCCTGCCAAAAAATCTGTAATTCAGTGAAACATCAGGGGATATCCCGAGTAAACTATTGTATTTCTAAATTACCAAAGAGATCTTTCACTGTGTAAGTAATAATGGAAAAAAATTCAGGAATGAAACATAAATCTAAACATTGATTTTAGGTAAAGATTAGTTTGTATAAAGTACTTTTATACCCTTCCTTGTTTCATACTGAAGGAACAAAGTGTGAGGATATTATCAGAGACAAAATTATTCATTAATTATTTTCCATTAGAACACATGGTACAGTAGAGAGATAGTGAAAAATACTGAAGTTACTTAACATAAATGATATTTTAAGTTAGTAATTCATAACTACTTGAGAATTTCTGGATTGCAGATTGGCAAATGTTCTACATTAAAATGGATACCTTTCTATCCTATTTCTCTCATTATAATCTATTTACTTTACAGCTAAAGGAAAAGAGAAGAATTTCCTGATGGTAACCACTAATGCAGACTAGTGGTCACAACCAGGAAATCCCAGCTCCTAACTTGAACGTGTCAATATGTCATTGATATAGGCCTAGAAGACAAAATACTATTAAATGACAGTGGCATGATCTAGATAAAAGCTCTACCAGATTTATGCTATTTAATGGTTTAGCACCTTTAGCACCTAAAATTTTTGTACATTTGTACAATGTATGTGCACAAAACATTATCAACACATCCGTAAGTGCAACCACTCATCTATCATGCAGTACCATACATACACAGTATTAACTGCTCTTTAACACATACATATTCTTATGGTCAAACCCATGATAATTTACAGCAACTCCTAAACTGTAATGAAGATTTAACAACCTACTGAGGCTTTGCAAGTCAAGTCAGGTGTAAAATGCTTTACCTTCCATCCAAAAAATTAACAACTTCAATGCACCTCCTAAAAGAGCTACTGAAAATGGATTCTGCATAAATAATTGCCAGGAAAAATAATTTCAATTAGAGTATTGTCTCCAGAAACAGCAGGGTCCAAAATTATTCTTCAACAGTAAGTCATGGGGCCAGCCACCAAATCTGCCAAAAGGTGAACCATGTCCCTTACTTATTAATAACAGATAACAATAGAAACTTATTTGGAAACGTTTTATTACTGGGGTTGTTCCAGGAGCAAGTGTGAGCAGAGCATCCAGAGTCAGAAATTGTGAAGAATTACTAGGGAACACATCCAAATGATGATCGAGGCTGAAGAATTCAAACTTCTTCTCTCTAGAATAATTATCCTTCATAAATGATTCTGACAGACATTAGATAATAACCTGGGCGAAATTTGACTGGGAGAAAGCCAGAGGACTATGGAAGTAGCAGAAACACTTCAGGAGGTCACATCTTTCACCTCTAAAAAGTGACACCTGGTGTCCTATGAGGATGGAGAAAGGGCAGGGGGGCTGTGCTGGTGCAACTGGTTTCTTGGGCGACCACATATTTCAAAGATAAGGACATTGGCCCTACTGTCATAATCATGTCCAATCTCATTTAGTTTATATTAAAGACACACAATGTAGTTTAATGCATCAGTGTAATGGACTGTGCATTGGAAGACTTGGATTTCACTTTCAGATTTGCTTTGGACTTTTGATTTGCTTTTGAGATGGCTTTTGAGGAAAATCATCCAGTCTTTTAGACACACAGTTTACCTTTCTGTTCAATGGGAAGTATTTTAGTGTCAGTGCTACATCATTTCACTGATTATTTCACCTGCCATTTCAGTGGACAGAATAGGCCTCCTGTTCCCCACACATTTTCAGTAGTGTGCTGACAGCTGCAGGGTTTCATGCCATAGCCAGTATGATCTCCCAAGTAGGTGAGGAGATGACTGTAGTGAATGGATCAAGTGCTTTGGAATAAATGCTCTAGAATAAATGCAGCATTTTCTTCACACACATGATTAAACAAGGTGCTTTATCTGTCTACAACCATTAAGATACACAGGAAATGATGTTAAACACAAAACCTCAAGTTAAGAGCAGAACTGAAATTGCAATTCAGGTTCAGAGGCCAGTTGTAACACAGCTATTTTAGTGTTCTACACAAATTCTGCTTTATGCATAACAACCATTATAGAAATGCAATCAAATGATATATGAATGTAACAGTAAAAACCCCAAGCGTAATGCTTGAGCCCATACAAAAGGAGCGTGACTCCAGTTGAGGGCAAACTATCAATAAACCCTTAACTTGAAAGTTACTGACAAAACAGGTAATTTGCAAGGACTCCTTCAAAAGTAATTTGGAACGAACAGTAAATGTCGAAAAATGTTTCAGCATTTTCTGTTGAACATTTACCACCACGAGCAAACTTGTTCTTTATTAAATGGGTACATGAGAGCCTGTAACACAGTCACCTTTGTTTTGAATGATGTGTTAGTCTTCTGGTCACAGTGGAAAGCCTGATTTAAAATCTTCTATTTGCAGATATTTAACTACTAATAAATAGTCACACAAATCAATCCATTCATTTTGAAACACACAAGCATTTTTTTTGTAGAAAAGCAGAAAGTACCAATAATCTGAATTCTTTTCATTAAGTGAGTAATAGAGCAACACCGAAAATAACGATCCTTATAGTTTGTTCATTTCTCAGATACCTCAGCTTCTAAAGCAAGGGTATGAAGGGAAGTAGTTTTTTCCATTCAACATATCCTTTACATATATAAATATATAAATACACTGGATTAAGACAAACTCCTACAAGAACAGTATTTGCATCTCCAGTTATATGCACTCTTATTTAGAAAAAGTTATTTGTGAGATTACATTCACTTACAGGGCAGGGGAAAATGAGAACAGTCACCATAAACAACTTTGCAAGTTTTAAGCACACCAACAGAAAGACATTTCACTCCTTTGCCTACATGGTTTTTGTTTAAAACATTTAAGGCAGGTAACATTAACATGCTAGTTTAACCCAGTACTAATACATACAGAGAAATGTACAGAGACCTCATAGTCTTCTTCCACACCCAGAGTGACTAAATTCTTATCCCAAAAAGGTGCAGCACAGAGTTAGTCTTACAACTGTACCAAGATTTACTTCAACTCTTTAGCCTTTGGATCGCTGTGCAGAGGATTACCCTTGGAAAGCAAATATTTTCCTGTAGGTATAGATAAAAATCCTCTGCATTGTTTTTATCAACATATCGAACATCAGAATCTTTAGGCCCTCTTTTATAAGAGAAGAGATACAAGAACCCTGCCCAGAGAGCACATGACCAGACTGTTAACTTATTTTTCTAACCCAAAGAAGTGGATTTAACATGTGTTTTGCTAATAAACAATGAATGGCTGTAACAACAAAATTGCGTGGTGCTTGTAATTCACAACTGCTGCTGGAAAGCATCTTTTAGCTACTTTTTAAGACACAGAGATTGCTTTAGACACTTCTCAATGATAATTCTGACCAGGATTAATATCAGAAATGTGATTACACTGAGACAAAATAAACTTAAAACACCTCTTCAGCTATTCTATACCAAGAGTCTCTATTTTTCACTCCTTTCAAAATGTTTAAGTCATAGGCCAATGTGTGCTGACATGCTGAAAAAAGTTTCAAAGCACTTCACAGTGTTGTCCCATGAGCAAAAAAAGGAACAGAGCTTTAAAGATGTAATCTAGTGGAGTTTTTAGATGACATTACAATTGATATGTAAGACTTCATTCACGAAAAACATTCTTACCCAGAAGATCCAATGCTTTTGCACACACCAAGAAGAGGCCGCTTCTCAGAGAAATTATCACATTTCTGAGCACCTAATAAGAGGAAACAAAACAAAGCAAATCACTATGTTCTGTTTGTGTTACCTTTTAAAGTGCAGGTGTGCACGCTGCGGGGGCCCAATATTTTGGAAGGATATTGAAAGTATAATACAAAACTAACAGCTTGTACAATATTAGTGATAGAAATACAAATAACAGGCAGAGTCAAGAACATTGGAAGAACTGTTCTTGGAAGAGATGGCAATGAGTTACAAAACAAGTAGCAAAATCAGGCCAGGATTTTGAACTTATTTTCCTACACCTTTCAGTTGGGGTTAAGGGTTCTGGAACTGTTAACAGGTAATTCTTGCTCACTTTTCATTGTTTTAACAGAGTTGTCTGTAATAAGACTGTCACCAGCTCTGCATGGGTTTCACATATTGGTTTCAATTTCTTCTACTGAGGTGTAAGAGTGTTAACCGTAAGAGCGCAGCGTAAGAGCAGCCACACTCTGGAGCACATGGCAAGCTGGCTGCCAGCGTTTGCACAAAGTATGGCCATGCTTACAGCCCATGCCCTGGCCTAAGAAAATACCAGATTAAATTCAAAAGAGTCTTCAATAAGTTCTGCCACCAAAAGATTTAAGCCTTTAAGAAAGTAATTTCCAGCAAGACGCAGGCTATGCCTGCTGTTCACTCAAAGTGAAAGCACAGCTCTAATGCCAAATCCCATCTACTTTTCAGATCAGCTTCACCAGGTAACACCAGCATAGCCTGCAGCAGCGTTTGGCATGGGCTTGTCCTCTGCACTAATCGAGGGGCTGAGACAGTTCTGCCTGCCATGGATCCGTGCGCCTTTAAGAAAGTAATTTCCAGCGAATTTCAAAGTGAAAGCACAGCTCTAATGCCAAATCCCATCTACTTTTCAGATCAGCTTCACCAGGTAACACCAGCATAGCCTGCAGCAGCGTTTGGCATGGGCTTGTCCTCTGCACTAATCGAGGGGCTGAGACAGTTCTGCCTGCCATGGATCCGTGCACGCCGCCACCAAAGCAGACAATGAAAACCAGCCCTCCGCCTTCCCAAACTGCAGTCACACCTTCTGTCAGAGCCTCCAAACTGCTAAATACACCACACTTCTTAAGAAGAGGGGGTTAAAAGTTTTGAAAACTTTGTGTTATTGCTACCTAATAGAAATAAAACTGAGTAAAAAAAAAAAAAAAAAAAACCTCAACTCGTGAATAATGTTTTACTAAATTCCAGGGTTTGCTTCTACCCAATATAAATAACAGAATAACAACCACCACCACCACTACTCATTTTCCTTCAGCCTTTCCTATTTTCTTTCAACCTTTGCCTTTTTAATTATCTATCTATAGGTATTCATGTGTATGGTGAATAATGAAACTGTATTTTTTTTCCTCCATTATACACCAGACCCTTTGATCTATAAAGAATATTAGTGATACAGTGTGTTCAAAACTCAATTCACAAATATGGGCGTACTGCACTAAATCAATTCTTCAGAAAGGCACAACAATTAACAATATACATTTTCACATAACAGACTCTGTTAATTATTAATAACTCTGGTACATGCAATTAATTTGTAACAAAAACTGTTCAGTGCTCTCATCCATACAAGGAGAAATCTTCCCTCCTACACATTTGGGTATTTATAAAGTCGAATGGGTCCCATCAATAACTTCAGCATCAACAATAGCTTTACAAGTAACCTAAACCAGCCAAATGTATTTTCCTTCTATTCCTATTATTTCAAGGTCTTTTATGAGTCACACCTGTACTGTATGTACTGACCTGTGAACTGATAAATGAAACACACAGTCTTCTTAAGAACCTGGCAACCAATTTGTTTTCTTCAATACAAGTAACAGATGAACTCCATTTGTTTCTGTTCACTTAGCTAGTCCCTCAGCATTAAGGGTGAAATGCTGACTACCAGGAGTTCTGACATTGATTTAAGCGGAGCCAGGATTATACCTTAAGTATTTAACAACAGTTTATTTTCTTTTTTTTTAACCAGGATATATTAGAGACATGATTTCAGATGTTTCTTTATAGTCTAGTTCCAAGTCTAATGACTAGGAAGGGGGAACAAGGGGAAGAAAGGTGGTGGAGAGTACAGGGAAACAACTGCACAAAAGGAATGCCTGTTTTTAATACCTACAATGCAGATTTGCAAGATTTGTACAAGAGGTGCTTAAACTTCTGATTTCAGCTTGTAATGACCGAGGGCCTCATTTCAAAAAAATCCATTTTCTACTTCAAATATATACTCTCAGAATGTAAATATTGATACTGTAGAAAAGGATCATTATTTTGAGGACTCTGCAGGGCATTAAATCAGGTTAATAGCAGCCTCATTCATGAGATTGCAAAAAGCAACATGTGTTGTTCTCTGCAATGCTTAATGGAGTCCGCAACCCTCTCCAGTTCTGCGGTGGGGTTTAATCTCCCAGGTTATGGTGGATTAATTTTCATTTGTAAAATTGTGTTTATTTGCATGTGTGATGTGCAGTAACACTGCACACACCTGGCTCCACATCCAGTGTTTAACAGAGTGCAGCAGGATGATTGAAATGAAAAACAGCCAGCTAAATCCCTCAACTACATAAAGTATTGAAATCCTGTTGCAAAGTCTTTTTCTTAAACTCCTTTTATTCTAAATCCTTTTAATTCTGTCATATAACACTACAGCATTTTTGAAAAGCTGAAAATCCTGACAAATCACACAATTAAAGTAATGAAAAATGCCCTCGCTGCCAACAAGGCACCACCTTATCTACAGCTCCATTTAGCTAAATGATACACGCTCTTTAAAAAAAACCAACAACAAAACTAACTTCAGTTAAATTGCTTAAAATTGAAAAAAAAAATATCTGTGGCTAAATGAAATTTCATACAAATCAACATGTAGAACTTTATGGAGTCAAAAGGTTATCCACACATAAGCTCAAAGCAGCTTATGTACTGTACTTCTGATGGAACTGTGAATAGCTATCTCCTGTGCCTCCTAAGGCCTCTCAATAATGCCAATAATAATAGTAACAGCAGCAGCACACCTTTCTGAAGAGCAAAACTGAAACCCCAGTCATTTCCACAGGAGCTCAAAAACTGCTCAAAACTACACAAAGTACCCTCACTTCCCTTGAGTAAGAAATGCACTGTGCAAGTGTCAAATTCTGACCTATTTGGCAATAGCATATATGCACCGTATTTGTCTGGTATGTAATTCCACTGATCAAGTTCCATCACAGCCGTTTAATAACAGTGCATCTCCCGTTCAACTAAACCCCTCTTATTTCTGTTAATTCAAATTGTGTTGCATTTGTGGTCCTGCCCCACAAGAGTGTGGTAGCCAACCAGTACCTGGAAGCACATCAGGCCACAGGCTGGCATTCGCTATGTACGGTTTCCACTCCTTATTTTGTTTTTTATTTTTATCCTTTTTTGGGGGGATGGGGAACCTTTCTTAACATTTCTTCATCGCTACCATTTTGTTTCTGCTTTTTACTGAACACAAATGCGGAAAAGCATATGTGCTACTTGAAACAGACGCAAAGAGGCTCATGTCAGTCCTAAAAATAGTGTGTGAATTCGCCTCAGCTTCAGGGTAGCATCTCTAAATGCTCTTTTTTCCTGCACAGATAAGCTCTAACTGCATTACTCAATATCACATCTGATCAGTGATGCTGCCACTGCTGTCCTCACCCCAGAACTCCAGGTCCTCCTTCAGGGCTGATGTTCTAGACCGTGAGCATCATCTGATTCCATCTCCTTTAACTCCAAGCATCACCCAGATGCGTCATGTTTCAAAGTCCCTCTCCAGCACCTAAATCATCATGCCTGTTTCTCACATCCTCCAAAAGTTATCGCCCTAGAACCCCCTTCAATGCCAGGTGATTTTCATATCTAGTGCTTCCTCAGCCCATCCCACCCTCCCATTTCTGAGATAAGACAGCAATGTTGCAAGAAGCAATGGTGGCAGGAGAACATTGTCTTGGCAGTTCTGTCAGACACAGAGCTATAATGTCTATAGAAAGTTAGTTTTTCTTTTGCAGAGCACCATAGTTTTATTCTCTAATAAATATGTAGTTTCTACATGAAAAAAAAACTAAAAGATGACCTTGAAACCTTTACTAGAGATCAATGTTTCTAGAGTCACACGTTAATGGAGGACAGCTAGAAATATTTCATTTTTCTTGAATCTTGTATGAACAAAAATCCTCAAGAGACACATCAGTCTAAGTTTAAGGTGTATTGGTCTAAAGCATTGATGTAGCGTGGCCAGAACTGCAATGGTGGCATACAGGTCAGTCCACATACCTTCAAAGAAATTAATACTGTTAAATGTCATGCTCTGAAATTCTTCCCTGTATCATCTATAAAATGCTTGCTTGCTATGCTTGAGAATTCCATTCTGTAATTTCTATAATCCATACACATTAACATTCATTATACCACAACAACCCACACAACCTTACAAAATACCCAAGTGAAGTGCACACCTGCACGACCCACTTACACCAATCCAAACCAAGCTACCAACTGCTACTGCCTGTTCAGCTTGTAGGGCTAGTTCTGCTACACAGACTATGCAATTATTTTGGCCTTCAGGGACTTCAAACCACTAAAGCCACCCAAGTGGTTGAACATATACAAAACACACATCTGCCTTCCTTTAGAAAGTAACCTAAATATTATAGTTCTTTTAAGTATACCTGCACATAAAGCTGAGTCAGCTTTTGAGGTTCCAGTTTTACTTTACCAACATCAGAGATGTAAGCAGCAGAGTACAGAGATCAATCTGCTGCAAAATCTAAACTTTCAACAGCTGTAGATTTTCAAGTGCAAAACTTCTGTGTCCTGATTAATTTTAGCTTTTCATCTTAATTCTAGTTTTCACCCCTTCATCCATAAGGTTCCTTTGGGTCTTCGTAGTTTTAAACACAGTACCTCTGATTTCTCTCCTTTATTTCCTTTCTTATTTGCTCTTCTTCCCCTATCAGTCAATATGACTAAGCAGTCAAATTCATTGAGAGATGCAGGACTATTATATCATCTTTTCTGCAAGCAGCATAATCAAGAAAATGGCAATAAATTAATTCAGTTCACTTGAGGAATTTATTTTCATAATGCTGAGACATGGAAATAGGTTTTACAGACAATGACTGATCTAAACTTCAACACACAAGCCTGTCATCATGTCCCCTTTAACCATGAATTACCACACACAATGCTATTCCTGCGGCCCAGTTTCCTGATCAACTTTTAAACTATGCAAGCCTGCCTTAATAAATGGGATAGCACAAGGCAAAAAGCAGGTATTTGGACAGGGTTTTGTAAAATGACCTGGGATAAGTAATAAAAAGTGGGAGGCTGCATACTGACTCATTTCAGAAAGAGTAATACTGATTTTGTAGGAAAAAGAATAGCAAAGCTAACTGAAGTAAATGTATTGTCTCCTTAGCACTGATTCCAGAAGAAAGAGACCTCAAAATGAAGTCAAAACACAAAGATACAAGAGTTCTGAGTCTTTTTTTATTAGTGACTTCATAGGCCAAAGAACACACAAGTACTACAGAAAACCCAACTAAGTACTATTTTGAATGTTTCTATAAATATCACAGGGATGCTAATCAAGAGAAAACACCCAAGAGAAATGTAGGAATATCCAAGATGGAATACTTCATACTATACAGAACTCCAACTCAGGATCATTTCAATTCTACAAGTTTGTATTCACACAGCCAGAAAAATGTGAAAACACCATCTAGACGGAGTGGTGAAAAACTAGAAAACATGTTGAACAAAGAATATGAGTAATTAGCTTAGAATGGCCAAGTAGAGCCATTAGGTGTTGTGTGAGATGAAGCCCAATACACAGAACTGGAGTAGTAGTGAGGATACCACAAACCTGAATCATATAAAATGGAGGAGGAAGCTAATCCACCCTGATTTTTGCTTGTTCTCCCACTAACTACGATGATGTTACCAACCCTGGTTTCCTCTTCACAGAGAACAGTAGCTAAATCCAACTGGCAGAGTTCCAGCTTTGATTTGTATCTACTAATCAATATTTTCTGCCTTCTAATAACCACAAAGTCTTCATTTGTCTTCAGAGACAACTCTGTCTGCTTGTTTTGCCTGAAAAGACAAAAATCCAGAGCCCAGCAAACCAGGCTCCTGTATACATCTAAAGCAGTACTAAACTCCATCACAGCATATGGATCTGAAAGTGAAGAACTAAGCAAGTTAAAAGCTGCGCCAACCAGCTAGCTCAGCCGGTAATAGAGCATGTGGCACACAAAGTGCCAGGATTTAGTATTCTTATTTCTATGACTGACAGTGTCCAGACAGAACTGTTCTCATATTTGGTATCTCCTCTCATAAGCTCAAAATTTGGTCACAGTGTAAACCTTCAGTCTCCAAAAAGGCCATTTATATTGCAAGCTGTAGAAAATAATCAAAGTCATATCTACCACTGAAGGCAACAGTAGATATTCTCTGTCCAGAGAACAGAGTTCATGTCTACATTTTTCGGTGTTATTTACAGAAATCACTCCATTCTTCTGGACATCTTACCCAGGCTGCAGACCAACGGTGCCACAGACACAGAGACAACAAAGTGCTGCAGTGCTGGGCCAGGCCAGGTCTTGCCTGGTTTGTTAGCTCAGACAAAACCCTGCCCGAACATTGCAATACAGCTGCCAGGTCAGAACAGTTCCAGGAGCCATTTCACTGCTCTAGCATGGCACAGAGCCTGAACCAATAAACCTCACCAGATCCGAGCTGGCAGTGTGCAAGGCCAGCTCCTGATACTGCACCACATCCCTGTTACTAGGGCCACTTATAACCTGCTAAATCAGATTTGAGAAGGTCTCCCTTGCAATAAGCCTGCATGAAATAAGCCTGTATGAAATACCTCTTTCGAAACAATGCTTTATTATGCTATGAAGCACATGATGCAGCAGAGGAGCTAACATCAAAGGACTATAGTATTTTAACAAAACAGTTGACAAACTATTAAGTTCTGCTACTGCAAAGTCACCAAGTTAAAACCATGAGCTTTCCTTTCACACCTGGGAATGAGCTTCTTATCACAAACTAAGATCTGTTTCTAGGAACGTGCCAAATCCATCCACCAAGAGAGTCCTATTTTCAATAATTCCCTTTTTACAGCTTTACAGTAAAATAGTGTTTGAGCCTACTGATGGTAATCAGCTTCTCCTTTACAAATTCCTTTTATTTTGTTCAGAATCATTAAAGCTCATGTGTTAGTTATCTACGGCCTCTTATTACAGCTCGACTTTTATCTGATTCCAGATACTGGTCAATGATACATTCATGTACTTTTAATCGAAGATTTATTTAAACCAAGCCATGTAAAAAGAGATCAAAACATGTTTTTAAAAGGTTTGGCTTAATTTAATATGAGCTAATTTGAATAGTTTTCTAATGTAACAACTATCACTGTCAGATGCTAAAAATATGCAATTTAGAAACAGACAGTAACTGCTTGAAGGAGTTCATAAGCAGTGAAACTTACTAGACTGAAAAATCAGAAGGCACTATTTTACTATCAGAAAGAAATCAGAACTTATAGATTCTTCGATTAATTTACTTCATTTTCATTTCCATATACACTTCTCTTTCTCCCTTTTTCCCTTTGAGAGAGGAAGGGGCATAGACATCCATTACTTAATGACACACGTAATAGCAAAAAACCCCATAGCTCATCAGGAATTATGCCATGTTCCCATAAACAGAGTAAAAGGAACAATATGCTTGCAAAGTACTTTGCTTTAAGTTATTTCAACCTACGATACAGTTACAGAGCCACATATACTTCTCATATGCCTCTGCTCAGGAAATTATTGAGCCAATATATAATGTGTCATTTAACCTTTAACTTTCTGCATTTACTTTCTTTGAAACACTGCAGATTATTATGATTTACTACGTTTCTCATAATTTAAACAATGAGATTTTAGGCTGTATTTTCTGAGTTCACCAATGAATTCATAATCTACTACTAAAATTTGGAATCCAGCATAATACCAAAGAACCTTGGTCATACATTTCAATCACAACGTAAAACATGCCAACCAATTTAAAGTGGAAATGCTACTCGCAGCTGTACACAAGAGCTTGCCCACTTGAAGTTACAGGGAGAGTAGATAAGCTAAACGTTGCTGAAACCAAAAAGGAGCCGGGACACCAACAGATCTCAGGCCTTCAACAAGTCTACAATTAGATTTTGTGTTTAAATTGAACAGTGTCATTTTTTTAAGGGATTTGCCTGTTTATGCACAGCTGCTTACATTTTGCAGCAAGCTCTTCCAGGGGTTAGCTCAGAAGCTCTGAAACAATCCAGTTCAAATACTAAGCAGCTTGTCTTAGAACTTGATAAAACCGCACTGAAGAGAGGGGGTGTCTATCAGAACGCAAAGGATGGTGATAAAAGTTCAACCACTAAAAAGCTCAAACTGTTTGAATAAAGTTTACACAAATTAAGCAGAAGTTTCACATAAATAAGAAGCCAGTACCCCCCCAAGCCCCAAATTCCATTCTCTCATTACCTTTACTGGAGTGGAAAAGCAGCCTTTTTTAAAAACCTCACTGCAACTGCTAAACTTAGTGCATGCATGAGTAAACTACTGAGCTCATTTCACAGTTTAGAAAATACTTGGCATTTTCTTCCTAAATAAAGCATTAAAATAATCAGAAAAGGACATTTTCTCCTTGTACAAACTGCATTACTTGGATCATTGTTTAACATACATTGTTTCAGCTCCTGAAAGCGTAACAAAGGCATACTATCCTCCTGAAGAGTTTAAGGGCATCACATTATGAATAGACTTTACAACAAACTGTAACAGGAGATCTGAATAAATGTTAATAATTTCTAGATCTGCTGCTATCACCCACCACGTTGCTATTAAAAAAAAAAAAAGTAATTTCAATATTATTTTATAGCAATGAAATATCAATAATGTTTCCAAATAGAAACATTAACATCTCTGGACTGATCTCTGAGCACAGACAGACCTAGATACCCTCTAAACTACAAAGGAAGCAGCATCAAAGCTAAAATGTGAAGATGAAAAAGGAGAAAGCACTGGATTACAGAGTAGGAGAAAAAAGAAGTAACTAATACTTGTAGAAAGCTGTTATGAAGGTGATGGTTTAAAATTAATGGGAAAATCTACACATCAGGTTATAGCAATGATCTGGACAAAGATCTGTAAAAAAAAAAAGATATGTTTAATTCTAAACCGTATAAACGTATACTTACTGATCTGGGGAGCTGGTAAGATCCGTGCAGCTCGAACCGGACCATGGCGGACAGAAAAGAGTTCTTGAGCTTCACCACTGATCTGCAAAACACAAGCACTGTGACCATACAACATAAAAAATACATACAATTATATATATATATATACACACACACATTTAGTATGTAAGAAAGTAGGTAGAAAGAAATTACATGACAGGTAGGTAAGAACAGAATTTGGCTTTCTAACCAACCATCCACAATTTCTGTAAGTGGGAATATACACAGAATATACACAGTTACAGCAACAAAGATGCCTGCCTCTAACAACACGTGCCTCAGACTGTGTGAATGAGTTTCTAGCACTGTCAACTATTAATAACTACACGTTTTAGAAGAAACAAGACTTGAAGTTGATTGCTGACTAAAATGCACAAGAATTCAAGGAATCAAAGACAAGCATTTATTCTGCATAGTACATGATTCAAAGAAAAATGCAAACTAACCAGTGATCAGGAGAGGCAAACGCTGGTGTAAAGATGAGAGAATCTGATACAGTGGTACATTCCCTATCCTTTAGGTGTAAAACTTATGTTTAAAAATAGAGGGGGGTTAAACTAATTAGGTTTGTCACTAATGGCAACCTTGAAAAGATTAAACCAGAAGTTAAGAAGAATTTCCAGACTTCCTGTAAATGGTCAGTCAGAATGCATTTTCATAGCTGCCTGGTAATGGATCCGATATGGAATGTCAAACTGGGAAAATAGCAAACATTATGAAGATAATTTCCAAATAAGTAACAACTTAAAACAGATGTAATGAGACTAAGATCATGGCCAAAATCTTGGCATAAAGTTTTGCCAAACAAGCAGTTTACAATATCAGAAGAGAATAGAATTTGGAACAAGGTTCTTATGAACCAATAAACTAAATGGAAGTTAACTTTTTCAAATGCCATTTTATGGTTGCTCCCATTTCTTTCTGCACTTCAGCTAACACGTTCAAAAAGTTAAAATCCTACTACTGTTTGACCAAAAAAAACCTGAAGCGTAGTACTTCTGACTCGTACCTTACTTTCAGTCTTAACCCAAGCCTCATTATATAGTATCACTGCTTTAGATAACACGGGCAGAATGAAACATACTCCACTGAAGCACAAATCTTTCATAGGATCACTCTGAAAACACTGTTTACCACAGAGGTAGCCCATCCTTCTGTGCACTGTAAGCAAACACAGAATGTAGTAAACTACTGATTTTCCACATTCCACCTGGAAAACATTCAAGCTACACAAGTGTAGGGATAGAGTTGCAGACAGCTAGCATTCCACACTGGTATGAATCAAGATTACTGTTAATGATGGGCTCAGAATTATTCCTGACAGACACAACATTTTTAAACTGCAATCAATATGAGAATTAATCCCTAAGTCTGCCCTGCTCTTAGTTTATTAGGCGGACGTTCCAATCACAGCAGATTCTCCTCTTCCAGCTAGCAGCATCATCTGAACAACACACAACATTGTAGTACTTCAGCTTTTGCAAAACAATTTTGATTCTCCCTCAGGGACAGACAGAGGCCTCTGCTCTGAAGAGGTTGCTGACCAAGATTCTATCCCAGACAAAAGCATGATGATCAGAAATCAACTCAGTAAAGATTTGCTGATTGTAACTGATGATGCATTTGGAGCGCAGTGTGGAAAAAAAAACCCACATGGACAAAAACACCTGCATGCAGAAAAGACAGCTTGGAAAAAAGTAGAGCACAGCTAAGCAGAAATGAAAGAAATCAGAGACACAAACAAAGGGATGAAAAAAAGATTAAGGCAGCAGCATGTTTTCTATCCATCGAAGCACACCAGCTCCCAGCTCTTTTCATAGGAAAAAAAGGAAAGAAGGAAATGGAGAAGAAATAAAAATATAAGGCTTTGGAACTATTATTATTGGCAATTAAATATTTTTCCCCCAAATCATGTAAATGCTGCTTCACATTGTACACACCTCAAGGGCTATGAATGAAAACAAGAAGGAAAAGAACTAGCATAACAAAAGTATGGAAGAAATGATTCACATAAAATAATCCAACCCAATTCAGTCACCACCTTCTACTTTTTAACTATGCCAGCTCATCAGCTCTAACTCTAATCTACTTCCAATGAAGTTACAGTCCCAAACCTAAGATACGCTAAGAAGTCCAAGCCTTCTTAACTCAGTTTCTGCTCTTAAATATACTGAACTCCAGAGAGCATGTTTATTTAGCCTGTGATGCCCAGACCTGGTAAAGCTTAAAGTTGAGATTTTCAAAGAAATGCCAAAAACATACAAATACAAATGACATTTATTGGTACTTCAGCACCTAACATGAAAATCCCAGACCAGCTCATTTTTGTGCATAAAATGCTTTACTTTTTATTCATTAATCATTTGAAAGGTATCTATTTTATCATTTTATACTAGGGGGAAATTACAGAAAGAAACTTTAAATGGACTAACCAAAGTCAGAGGACCTGACAGTGATAAAGATTATAGGTAGCTAGCTCTTGTTTTGAGACCACTGTCATGTCCAGTGCTCTAGTGTAAGAGGTCCTTTCCTCTCAGCCTCTGTAGGATTTCTTTTTTCCCCAGGAAAGGGGAAACTTTTTAGAACTAAGAAATAAGCAACAAAACATTCAGATAACTTCAGCCATCTGCAGAGCTCACGTACTTTGCAGTTGCTGATTCCTGGGAGACAAAAAAGAGCTAATCTTAAAACATAACCCCACTGCTGACTTTGTAATGAAAATACAAGATGCCACCCAACCATTAACAGAAACAGGAAATCACAGAAGGCATTGGACTTTGTTGTATGCCATGAATTAGTAAGAGCTTGGCTGTTCCTCTGGTTTGCTTGGCATTGAAAAAATACATTAGAGCTTTAGAGTTCAAGATTTTCTTTGACTTGTAATTAACTTCTTTTAAAACACTACCACCCGTGGAAGCTACTGCTATTTGCAGTCTTATAAAATTCTGAATTAACTGTGGTTAATGCTAATGCCCTTCATTTATCTATGTACGACATAAAACTTTATTGCCATTGCTGAGGCCACACGTATCAAGTCTGACTGAAAGCACCATCTTCAGGGTAGAGAGATTATATAGCCTGATCTTTGTGCCAGTTCAAGTCTTATCTCACTCCTGAGACAGCCAACATAGAAAGCCAATCTTTTCTGTGAATGGGACACTTATTCCACTAGGAACTAAAGTGGGACAAGGAACTACATTTAAGAGAAGCGCAGCCCCACCGCTAAATGGCTAACAACTTCATCACTGCCAGCTTGGGTGAGATGTGGGCTGGCAAGTAGAAGTAAAAGGCTCCACATCCCATTACCAGTCCCCTGAGCTACACAGTCTCATAAGCACAGACAAAATATAAATAGACTTTATGAATTGAAAACAGAGCTCTAAATTCTTCAAAAAGCACCTGTGAAGAAACTAGGCTGTGGCTGCCATTTTGGATTTAATCCAGGGAAGTAGCAAGTCCCTGTGGCAGCTTTCAAAGCTCTTAAAAGTTTTTCTTTCCCATTCCAAAAGCCAAGAATATTTCCAAACAGGTTTCAAGAATTGAATATTAAGCTATAAAAGCAGCTTCAGGTACTCGTTCTATGAAAGAGGGAATCCAAAATGACGGCTCCAAGCTGGTCTGATAGAACACTTCAGCTTTCCCAGCGCCTCGTATCAAACCACAAGCGCCAGACCTACATGGAAGGCTGCAAGCAAAGAACACGCCGATTCAGAAACCTGGCCCCCAATGAAGTCTTCATCACTCTCTTCCAATAATGCCAGATTGAAAATGAAGAGGAGCTCTCTCCTCCACTTAGATTACTTGAGCTACTGCTTAAAACATGACAGAGCAGAACTCTGGAGCGCTGGTTAATTTTTGATGACAGAGTTTTATTGTTTGGAGCATACCAGTTTGCACCCACAAAAAATAACGAACAAAGGGAGTTTTGTTCACACTAAGGGTAACTAATAGTTTCCAACCATAGAAAATGGGTTTCACATGGGGGATAAAAAAAAAAAAGAACTCAAACATACACCAAACTGAAGCAAAATTGAGCTCAAAATGCAATGCTTAAACTACCACGCAATTGTATGAATGGAAACTGCTTTTATACTAAAAAGCTGTCACAGAGCACTGGGAAGATATCAGGAGGTAGGTTTTCATAATATTCTGATTTACATTTTAATTATGATATAGATACCATGATATGATGTTATGATAATAAGCAACTGACAGATCCTGCCACAAAGCACTGTGTGATATAATCATATTGGGTTAAAGACTACTACCAGACTCTTGCTACTGAGAGGAGAAGGAGGCACTGTAAGTAAAGGGGCAAATTTTATCACTTTAGTTTAGAAATTCAGTCTGCTTTTTCATTAAAAAAGAAAAATCTCTAATTGTCTAGAGGTTATAAGAATATAAATGCTAGAAGAATGTTACAGTCTACTCTAGTGACTGAATTAAGTATGAAACTGCACCGAGCACTTAAAATTATGACAACTCTAAGTGAATTTAAAAAGCAGTGACAGCTTAGAAATGGTTTTGGTTACAATTTCCTCAACAGTCTCACTTTGCCATACATTTAGAGTTTTAGCATGATGAGGCTGCAGGCTCCCTATAAAACTCTAAGTTAGGGGACAGTTCTGCATTGGTTTTAATCATTTCTACACAAAGACAAGAATGACACAGAGAATGCTGGAAGGAGGTAGTACAATTTCTTCAACAGTCTCACTTTGCCATACATTTAGAGGAGTTTTAGCATGATGAGGCTGCAGGCTCCCTATAAAACTCTAAGTTAGGGGACAGTTCTGCATTGGTTTTAATCATTTCTACACAAAGACAAGAATGACACAGAGAATGCTGGAAGGAGGTAGAATACGGGTACTAACACCCTTCATGAGTCTTCATCTTATCTTTGACCCCATCCAAGGAGAGCTACATGAAATGCCGTTTGGATTCTTCTGATACCTCTCACCACAGCCTTTTGCAAAGTTGTGGCACAAGCTACTTTTCCAACTGGTACAGGGTATGATCTGAGTAAAATTAATAAATACAACAAGCTTCCAACAGTTCTGCAGCCACTTAATGAGTGTAAAACCAGTACATTTCTTGCACAGCACCTGCATCTTCCATGTAAAAAACCCAAAGCCTCAGAAAATTATTTGCATAGATGTTTTGTAAAGTCCTTGGACATTTTTCAGAGTTACTAGGTTAAGTTCTTCCAAGTGGCTAATACAAGCATTAACAGTGGTACCCTCCATCAGGAGGAGGTCTGGATTGCAGCTTACTGTGTGTAAATGAATAGTCCTTTTCCCAGCACTAAAATGAAAAGGAATTACAAAGGAGAAAGAACTACAAAGATGACCACATTGAAAAACCCCAGCAGACAGGGCTTTTGATGAATAGTTGAGAAAACAAAATGGAACTGGCATGTCTGTCTTACCATATACATCCATCTATACATGCACATACACATACCATCTGCTGTACAACTGCAGTTTTTAACAACTTAAAAAGTATTACTTGACAGCAGCATTTAAAGAAATGTAAGGTCTGGCAGTGGAGAAACGGCAGTGTGTGATGCCATCCTTGCCCAGTGAGTACTCTGCATTCCAGAGGTCTCCACATGGAAGTTACCTTCCATATGGGCTGATGCACCCCATCAGTCTGTGGCGGTTTCATTTTACCACAGCCTCTAAGTATTTTTTTGCTAAATATACATCTGCATTTGTTATTAAAAGTTGCCTTTGGTAGTTCCTACTTTATTCAAGTCAAACTTGATCGTTCTTTTTTAATTGTAATACGAAACATTAAATTAAGATGATTTTTCTACTTCTGAAACTTCCAGCGTACAATGAAACAAAAAATTATCTGCCACAAAACCAGCCAACATGCATTTCCCTCAACAGGAACATCTAGAACAGATACTTGGAAACCACATTAGGCAGAAACCAGTTCCAACTGTATTTGAAACATGAAACTGGGAGCAAGGGAAAAACAAATTCCAACTAAAACACAGAACTACACTGCACAATTATCAAATAGGAACTTCTAGCCATACTTTTGTATATTCCCAGCTTTCTCCCCACTTAGCGAGGCATATTTTAAGAACACTTTTAACCTTCCCACCCCCATTTCAAAACAAAGATCAAAGAAAAGTCATTTGGATGGACACCTTCTGCTTCTTATGCAATACAGATTTAGACACTGCACTTCAAAACCTCAGTACCCAGCAGTCCAAACATTATTCCAGTCCTTTGAAGCAGCCCTAACAGTATCTTCCATTTGCAAGTAACACTTCTGTAGTCAAAGATCTTACTCCAAGGAGATGTTAATGTGAAACCACTCAGACTGCAAAGAGACACACACTCCTGGAGGCAGACTGCAAAGGTGTTTAGAAGTCAATGTAACACCATTACGGAGAGTGTCAGCTTAGAAGCTGTCATAAACACTTCATAATCACTCAGACACAAACTGGACTGCCTGCAACGCATTACTTTATTAAGTGCTGAATAGAGGTTCAATTGTACGAATAAAAAGCACAATGCTAGAGATAATAGCCTTACTGAGTGGGTTTTCACATAAATGTCAAATTGTTGCTTTTTCAGATTAAAAGGTTTTTAACCTAGAGAGATGTGAGGTTTTTTTATTCTTAACTGGAATAACGTTGCTTAATTACAAGCTAAATACGCAGCCAGATCAAGCAGAAAGGTCTGTATAATACCAAAGGACACAAAAAAAGTGTTGCCAAATAAACTCTAAATATTAAGTCGGCCACGTAATTGCCAGATTTTATTTTACTCAGACTAAGTCAGCAAAAAAATGAGATGGAAAAACAACAACATGAAAAAAAATCCCAAACCAAGTTACATTCCACCCAGGTTTGCTGCATGTATAAATCCTGCTCTGAAAAGATACTTAAAATTGATGTTAAAGACGATGCTGAGAAACTCTCCAGGACTATCTTACTTACAAAGGAGCCATCCCAACACTGAAATTATACATACAAATTGCTCAGATCAAAGCTGTACCTCTCTGTATGCAGCCTCAGAATTTCACAGACTATACAAATGAAGGGCTGAAAATGTGATGTAGTATCTCTACATTGACATTGTTAAGATAGATGGTAAAATATCCCCACTTTTGGCATTGTTTATCATTTCACTCGACTTCCCCCCACTCACTAAAAATACCTCTGCAAAAAAATGAAGCACACTAAGAGAAAGTGCTCTGCAATTTCATTTGTCTTATTTTCCCTCAAGTATTCAACACTATCACAAGCCGAGAATCATGAAGAAGTGAAACGCACCGGGGGGGGGGGGGCGAGAAAAAAACTGTATTTTCCTACTAAAAAAGGAGGTAACATCAAATACAAGGAGAGAAAAAAAGAAAGAAAAAGAAAAAAGCCCTCCTACAAACCCAAACAGTTCTTTCCCTCTGGGAACATGTATAAGCTACCTTGTACTACCTGGCTGACAGTATCGGTAAGCACACATAAGCTAGGAAAACCAAAGTAGTTTAATTCATTGTTAGTCATCTCCATCAAATAATTTCATGTTTACTGCACTGAACCATGGGGTACAAGCCTAAATGCAGACAGTTAATGCAGAACAGGTTACACCGAGGTAATCCGCTCCCGTACCAAAGAACTGAAGCTCTCTTTCATTCTTGCTTTCTTTATACATGTAAGATCCCATCCGACAGAGCATTTCTCGTGGGCATTGATACAGATAGCTCTGACAGAGACACTTCCATTTGGACACAGAAAGCCACTTAGGAGGGACACACAGAACTCTCACCTAACCACAGAGCAAGGGTGTGTTACACACACACAGAGGAAAAAGCAATCTAGACACAAGGCTGCTCTTATCACAGCATGGCCAGGACAAGCCCCATGTCAGCACAACGCACTTCCATATGTTTCTCACAAAACATGCGTTCCATTGGATAAGAACATTTGAGCAGGATAAAGTAAGCTGGTTTATAAAAATTCTTTAGCTTAAGGCAATGTGACTACTCACAGTATCTTAACTAATGGATCAACTTGTGCTGTAACTGCTGGTGCTACTGCAGTAGTATCGCCTCTCTTAGCTCAGTGTCTTAGTGACACCTAATGTTTGTTTTCTGTAATACACGTCCAAGAACAAAGCAAAGACTTCCTGAACCACTTGAACCACCCGATTTGTACACTCACGCAAAACTGAGCAGGCTTCAAAACAGCGTGCAAAGCCAATCACATACTGTAAAGCCATGCTTAGTATTCAGTGTCATTCAAAGCCCAGGGTAAAGGCAGATTTAAAAAGAAAACGATGAGTGACCAAGTGAGCTTTGCAGCCTCATACACGTTTCTGCTCTAAGGAGACAAAATACGGAACTGATCCAAAGATACGCTTTGCTCCAGTAAAAATAAAGCCACCAAAGTTACAATTAGATACAGTTTCTCAGGACATACAAGCAGATAAAATTTCTTACATTCTGGTTAAAATGTTCCTAAATTTTGGTTAAAGCTCCTAAATTTTAGTAAGAAGTTACTGAATACTTACTCCACTTCTAAACCCTCCTTCAAATGCAAAAGCTCAACAGCTTTTTTTCTTATTCTTCATTTCCAGCTAACAACGTGCAATCAAGAGGGGAAAAGCCAGTTCTCCCACACTCAGTGAAACTCAATTTAACTTAACTTTTGATGTACAAGTTCACATTATTCTCTATTACAACTGAGCTACTGGTACATAAACACATCCTACATAGCTAACTAAAGAGTTCTAAAAAAATATACACATTTCTTACAAAACCAAAGTATTTCACAAGGGAAAGAACTTCATACTCTCTACCTTATTTTGAAAGACAAGGTGTTAAAAAAAAAAAAAAATTAAAAATTGCTTATAAGACTTTTATAACCTGCTGTATTAAACTTTCTTCTGTAGTTTCAAGAAATTTGGGAGAAATTCCCCAAATTAAGACCATGTGCTCATAAACCACTCTGCAACACAAACTGCAGGTTCTGTGTATGACAGCATGAAATCAAACCCATATGCACACACAGGCTTTAATAAAATTAAAATTGCAAATCATGTACATGACAAACATGTGATTGTAAAATACTGTTAATACTGTCACACTCGCATTAAGGGAACAAACAAACTCTTTTCATACTTTTCCACCCTTTTTTCTTTCCGTAGGTTAAAAAGATTTCTGTCCTTTCTGGGATACAAACTATTCCATGATGTCAAGAACTACTCTCATTTAGACTCTGAAAATTCACTTAACAGAAATAATTTGTAGGAAGCCCTCAAATCTGAAGCTAAGTGAAGTCAAGTGTTTGATCGATGCTCAGTATTAATCTTAAGATAAGCATATTGTAAACAAACCGTATGACATCGATGGTAAATGTTGGATCTTTCTACTTTGATAGGAAAAATTAGAAGTAAAATGTTAAAGTAGTAACAGAACATTACAAACACAAAAGCCTCTGGCACAGAACTCTGCACTTACAGGTATGCTCCAGACTTGCATTCCATCACTGTACCCAATCATTAGCAGTAACGGTGGTTCATTCCCGGTGCTGTGTATTTCATGGAATTCCATATTCCTTGATGTATCTAAATTGGGTTTAAATATCAAAGCCATTATTATTAGGTTAGAATCAACTATGGCTGATGTCCGTTATACTAGATGGTGTTTTCTCAATGCATGTTTCTGGTGTCATTAAGTAAAAGCAAGCAAGATGGTTTCAAATTGTATGCAGAAACTATACTGAAGGATATTCTTTTAGGCAAACACAACATTTGTTAAAGTTTCACAAAGAGGCTAGAGAGTATTAAAATCTTAAATGGAGAAAAATATTCTGGATGACATTACGGGCTGTCACTAAATAATACCCAAAAATCTTCTGTTATTCCTTCTTCAATGATTAATAAAACATGGCAAAGCTTTTCAAATACAGCAAAATTTGCAAAGGACCAACAAAATAAACATGAACAAATACAGAAATTACAAATTCAAAGACTGAGCAAAACTATTTCTAGATACTATATAATTAATCGTTACATCAACCTTAAAAAAAGAAGAAAATCCCCAGGGAGAAAAGTACTACAGGACATAATCATCACAGTCACAGATATTAAGCTTTTCTTGAGTAAAGCTCTCTAAAACTACATTTTCAACCATGACAGAATGAACAGAAGCTCACTGCAAGCACATGAGCATCAAAACAAGAGAGTAAATATTTAGGATGGTGAAAGAGGATATATTCAGGCCCCATCAGATTAGGATGCATAAAAGTAAATTTAAACAGAATATGAAGGATTCTGAAGAATATTCTGAAGAGTGTTTGTTGCACTGTAGGAAAGAACCTGAAGAGGGAATGCCTGAGATTTTTTTTAACCCAAACATATAAGGAAAACAAGCCCACAAACAAACCTCAACCAGCCCAAGACTGGACATAAGGCAATGTCCAGGTTGACAGGTCTTTTCTAGTTCTTACAACTGTGAATTTATGAACTGCCAGCCTCTGTGCCATTTCAACAGCTAGAAAACATATTATCTTCCCTATTAACTTCTTGGAAAGGCCGAAAATTCCCCATCACAGCTCTAGCCATGGTGCTATTACTTCCTCTGAGACCAGAATGAGCCTTTACCATATTGCTCTAGACAGGAAAATAAGATGGTAGATGAGAAACAGCAATTTGCTGGAAGACTTCAATCCAGCATTCTCCAGAAGGCAGGTCCCATAGTTCATCAATTAATCCCAGAAGTAACTACCCGATAGCAGCATTCAACCACCTCCCATTCAGTCCCTTACTTCCTTATTCAGAAAAAGCTCACTGGGACAGACAGGTAAAACAGCTCCCATGTTAAGCAGGGATCTACTTGATACTCTCAGCAAAAGCTTGTAGCAATCACTATTTTCTCTTAAAAAGGTTGCAGACCTGTCTTCTGCACAAAGTCTTTGCTGATGATTCATTAAGATACACTGGAAGTGATAAACAAGTTACATGCTAGGAATACAGTGTCCCTGCTCATGGCAGGGGGGTTGGAACTAGATGATCTTAAGGTCCTTTCCAACCCAAACTATTCCATGATTCTAATATTTTGTGGCTTTGCTCTATTATTTCCCTGAAAGATGTCATGGAATCTGCTGCTCCATTTACTCAACTGCTCTTCCTTTCTAGGTTACTCTAAATTCTATTACACCACTGAAAATGTATCTGGGGCCTGGACTGGTTTCACAGTTAGATAATGTGGCTTTGAAATCAATCAGTAGATTAAATAAATTCAGTTCTATGCTTTGTTTTAGACTAAAATAGACTTATTTCTTATTTACCCCTCTTCCTAAGCAAGAGTTAATCTGCCTTTAGATGAAACCAGAAGATCTATATGTTCTATTTGGTAGATAATGAACAAAAGTGCAGTTATTCACTGAGAATTTAGTCCGTCGAGAACAGTGAAATGAAATAATTTTGAGTCAACAAAGCTTATTGATAAAGCTGACCGAAATTATTGTACATAGACCTAAATACCACAAAAATAAGTGAGAGAAAATGAAGCCATACCATTTAAATCTGTATTTTCAAATCTGACCCAAATTATCTTCTCCTTTTCTTCTGCTGGTGGGGTTCCACTGTATGCCTGGACAAAAACCAAAAAGGTTGAAATAAGAAAAGTTTAATATCCTTTTTTCTCCCTCTGTAGACCACAGAGAAAATATAAGTTAAAAAAGAAAAACAGAGATACATGTATCTTATTGCCACTAGTATTCCTGGGAGGTTTTGCTTCAAAGATGAATGATTCTATGATCAACATAAACCAGACTAAATGTAACTCAACAAGCGTAACATCACTTACTAATGTGGAAATGACAAGACATGTATAACAATAAGTCTTCTGGAGCAGGTTAGAAATGCCATGCAACTTACAGCAATTTAGTCAAGCTAAAACACAGCGGCTCCTACAACCTTTACCTTTAATAGTTACACACTGCTTCTAAAGGCAGTGTTAGAGGTTCTCATGTGAGGCATTTTTACTTTTAAAATTCTCTTTAATCCACTTTAAAACTCCGTAAAAAAGATTGAGGAAAGAGAGAGACGTTTACTACATAGTTTATATTTTACTGACATGTTTTACTTATATTTGCAACATCTTTAATATAGCCATTTAAAAGAGAATAAACTGCAATTCCAGTAGAACGGATCCATGTCTCAGCTCTGGGTTGTACAGATTCCCACAAAAAGATGCAATACAAAAAGAAACTTCGAAGGAGACTTGAAATGTTTCTAAATTGCAGGTTTTATAGTTCTCAGGAGGAGCTGCGGTAGTAAGAACGTGAGCTACAGAAGAAATACCATGGTTTCCAAATTAATTATACCAAAATACTGTGCAGTATTTTGGATTAAATATGAAAAGAGCTTATATAATCACTTTATACATGCCAGAAAAGCAATAACATGAACTAAAAATACAAATTTAAAAAATAAGTGTGGGTATTACTTTTCAAAACAAATCACATTCCATGCTTCCCAGGCAAACTGATTTGTAAAATAAAACACAGACTGTATCCTTTAACTACAGATGGGAAAAAACAGGGGCATGTGTGGAATGCAGCAAACTTTAAAATGAAAGTTTGACTATTTTTAATTTTGACCATGAGTCCAAAATGCATTTCACAAATTTGTATCAGTGAGGGGAATTTTTTTTGTATTACTACTGAGGATATTCATGACTAACCAAAAACCAAGACAGTTTCCTGAAGCTACAATTAGCTGCAGCACTTCTCCACTACAGACTACAGCTTTCCCAAAGAATAACAAAACAAAACTAGTTTCTCTCTGCTACCAAGAGGCCCATGGATGATACACAAGTGACTAGTCCAGTTTCATGCTGCTGCTACCTGTGAGAACTATGACCAAGAGCATCAGTGCTATTCTCTACAGAGGAAGAGCCCAGAAATTAAAAATAAAATTAAATTAAATTGAACAAAGCAGAGTGAGGACTCCTGTTTTACAGAACTCATCACGCTGGGGAATGATGGGTTCGGCAGAGCTCCACAGTTCCACAGAAGCCAGGACACTCTGAGGCAATTTAAGATAACAAGACCAAAAAAAAGAGAGAATAAAGGAGGCAAAGGAAACTTCCTCCTTTTCAGCCAGTGATAAACGCTGAGGTGATACAGGGTGCCTACCAGGCTGCTCTAGCACCAACCCAGCTGCACTTCATACGTAAGTTTCCAACTACAACCCAGAAGAAAACATATTTGTAGGAGGAGGAGCAAGTATTACTCCCAGTCTCTCCCCTCACCAACTACTCCATCACCAAAATTATCGCAGGAGAAGGCTGCAATCTTCTTCCTGCTATTTATATTGCAATTCTTTAACTTCTACATAGCTAAGATTTTCATTTGAATTATCACCCATCAGAGCAGATCCGTCAGCCCAATCTTCAGATGGTCTACACCTTCAAAAACTGGTCTCAAGATTCACATTCAAAAAACCTACAAAATTTGGCTTTTGTTTTTCAATATTCTGGTCCCCCTGACACACACTTCAACTGCTTTGTACACCCAAAAAATACTCTGAAAGATCTTCACATACCTGAGGCACAACATCTTGAAGAAACGTAACAACACTTTCCATGTACGACTGTTCCCTTGAAAACAGAAGGAGAATTTCAGCTACCACTGAAACCCAAAGCGGTCATGAATATATTACATAAGACATATCACCAGAGAAAACATGGATAATCTTTAGAGCAAAGGAAAAAGGATGCAATGCAGTTACTTCATATACTGCCAAACGCTGATAATATAAATAGGGCCTGAAGGTGTGTAAAAAGCTCTGTGATACCTGTTCATGAAATAACTGCTTGGGGAGGATGTATAAAACAAGAGGCAAGAAAGAAACCATGTTCTCCACATCCGAGTGGCTGACTGAAGTACAACAGGCATTTGGAAATCAGTCTTCCTTATTTTTCTACTTGATTTGGCTATTACAACATGAAGACTTAAGCGAAGGGCTGAAGTTCTTGTGGGGCAAGTAAACTTTAAGGCCTCGTAAGCGTTATGTATGATGCTGAAATAAATGGTAGCACTTGGGGACAGGAGATGGAACAAAACCCTAACTAAGAATAGTAAGGAGAGGTATTTTCAGATAAGATTTTATAGCTTGGGAAGCTTACTCCTTCTTGGAAGTTCATTAGCAGCAATGATTTAGAGGAGCATCTAGTGCAAGATACATTTGTTGTGGTAGATTTAAACTAATGCTTTTATAAGCTTATCCCTACAAGAGCAGTCAGTCTCTTGTGTAACTGCTGAGCAGTACAAGGGGGATTGACTATCAGACAGAGGGTGTCGAAACTATGCAACAAGTTTGTGCTTTCTGTAGCGAGCAATAGTGAAACATGCTTGCAACAAGAACTAACTTCATCAAGTCTGAGACCATTTAAAAACCCCAAACTCTTTAGACAACAGCTTTGGCAGCCCCACAATTGATTTTTCCTATTGGTAGTATTTTTTTCTGTGCTAACTCAAGATTTGTCATAGCAACAAAGTAAAAACATAAACCAGGAAATCTCCAGTCTTGATGTCCAAAGGTACATATGCTTTCTTCATGCTCTCTGAAACTGTGCTGTGCAATATTCTTTTAATAAAAACTGGTGTTTAGTATTCAAGAATTAAGTACTCTGTCCTATACAAAGCAATAAAGGGGATACCTCAAGTCAAATGCTGCAACAGCTGGATCAGCTAAACTGGTTGATTACTCTTCTAAAACAAAGTTTTCTATTTTAGAAAGCTTAGTCTAACTCAAGACAAAACTCATTTTTGTTCAAAAATCCAAGGATTACTGCATCAAAGCATGTTTTACTGCTTTACGCTGAGGCCTTATAAATGAGCTGTGATTTCTAGTGCTGATTCTTCTTTGATTTATGTAGGTCACCAAAACTGTCTTTGTACACCTTGAGAGCCCTTTATTACCCAGCAGTAACACTCGTCTACAGGTATGGTATTAAACAGTGTTTGAAGTTCTCATGCAAATGCCTACCAGCAAGAGTCATACTGTCTTCATTCTTCAGCTCAGGAAATAACTTTTTTCCTCCCCCCAAGTACATCTTGAAACCAAGCTGATGTTCAGGAAACGTTTTATTCAGTATATGTACTCTAAATCTCTCCTGAAGCTGAGAAACTTCCAGGAAAGTATCTTTAAAGTGCTTAAAACCAACCAAAACAACAATAAAACCTACCACAAAAAGTGCATCTTCCCTTAGTAAGACTTTAGGAGCTTAAGATAAGCAGCAGAATGCTGCTCCGCATACACAAGCTCTCATTGGAAAGACTGAAAATTCTGAGGTAAAAACATACACCTCAAACACAAGCCACCGTATTTAATAAACCAAAAGAACAGGTAATTTCATTCTTACAGTGGTTTTCTAGTATTATATTTTTTTAAAAGTGTATTTTGAAGAAACGTTCAATACAAACAGAAACACCTTTGTTGAGGAGTTCCACAACATTCAAAATAAAAGCTGCTTCTATCACATGGCTCTAACACAACTTTCTGTGTTACCACAATCAGTTTCTAGTAAAAATAAAGTGAATCTTGATGTCGAAATACACAGCCCTCTCCCGGGCAAACTAGCAGCTGCTGAAACTGATGGTACAAGTGAACATTTCAATATGGTGCTGCAGTATAAACATCCCCAGGACAAAAGAAAAACTGCTACAAGAATCCTTTAACAGACAGAGACAAGACCATAAATCTGGACTGTCTTACTAAGCTCTTTTGCCATGAAAGTATTTTCATGTGAAGACAATGAAAATAAAGGATGCCCAAGCAAAAACATGGTCTCTTATACACTCTGACTGAAGAGAGGCAGCTTCTTATTTTGCTCTTGGCTTTGTTCTCTCAACTAAAAGCAAATAAAAATTAGAATCCACAATTCTATTTACTAAACGACTTTAATGACAGGCTTGTGTGTTTTAATACATCCACCCCTGTGACAAGGCATGATCAGAAAGAACAAGAAAGGAAGATGTTCCTCCTAGCCTAAGGAAGAAGTTTGCAATCACTGATCTACAGGAAGAGAGGTGTTTGTACAGCAAGTAAAATTGTGTAAAAAAACCCCAAAACATTGTAATATCTTCATTTTTAAAATGCACAACTTTGCAGGTTTTGGTGTGTAAGTGAAAAGTATCCCGTTTAGAGAGACAGTTTGACCTGCACAGTCCTAGGACACAGGAATACAACATCAGTTTATTTTATTGGAAAATATACAATACAACGAAACCACACGATCAACACAAGCCCTCACAGCTGGCTTTGAAAGAGAATTCAGGCTAAGGTCTTCTTCTACCAGAAAAGAAAATCAATTTCAAACAAGGGCTACTCTTCTAGGAGGTGCTTACGTGACAGCTTGTGGGCGAACCACCACTCCTCCAGTGCAGCGGCTGGGGCGGCGCGGGGACTCTGTCGCCATTGTTTCTCCACAGATACCTGGACGAAACACACTGCTTTTTAATAACAATTTGTAGCAAGATTATCAATTATATTGGTTCTTGACATAATCCTCAAGATGGTAAAAACCTCTTGAGGAAAGAGACAACATATACCAACCTGTATGTCGCTACATGCCGCTTTACAGCGCTTTAAAACGAAACACAAAATAAACCACAAGCAAATCACTTCTGATTTCAGTATCTCAATCACTAGAGCTCCTGCAATGCATGTGAAAGCAAAACCAATACAGATCTGCATGATAAAGTGGAAAATTTTCTTCAAACTGTACATTAACTACAGTGGTACCAGTATTTGCTAATAACCAAGAGTTACAGCACCATCATTTAAGACTAATAAGCTGTTGTCTTAGAAAATAATTGTATAAAATAATCACAATCATAATTACAGTCTGTTGTAGTCTTGACAATGTGCAATGGGTCACATTGAAGCTAACACAAAAAGCGTAATGGAACACATTCTACTACTTTTCCATGTCAGCTTTTTGTGTCATCTTCAAGTTTTCTTTCACGCTTCTGTTCTCTATGTGAAAATTCAGTCTAACATTTCTAAAGGCAAAAACACTTGAGGAGCATCACAGATCCCAGCCACCTCTCCAGCCGCCCTGTTATCCTGTCCTACTCCAAACCAAGAATCAGTGCATAAGGTGAGAGAAACACGATTATCAGCATCAGTCCACCTTTGGGCAGTCTTTGTAAGGGCCACCTCTTTAATTAAGGCACTTCCCCCCATAGAAATGAACAACAAGACCTTCAGCAACACACCTGAAGCCTGACACACAAGCCTGGGAACCCCAGAAATAAAAACAGCACGTAATATCCCTT